CTGTAGTTTGTTCGAAATGCCTTTCGTAACACTTCAAGTCTCTGAACCATATAGAAGCACTGACTTCACTGCATTGGTGTTAAAAATCCGGATCTTGTTGTTTATGCAGGGTTGAGTGCAGATCTGCACACTGGTTTCACGTTAATGAACGGCTATCTTGTTGTCTTTCCGATCCTGGCTTTGGCGTCCTCATCTGTGCTGCCTGTAGTTGAAACGATGCTGCCTAGATAGATGAAAGATGGTACTTCCTTTAAGTTTCACCCATCGATGATGATTGGAGCTTGTTGTTGTTGTTGGTTGGGTATTATCATCACCTCTGTCTTCTCTACATTCACTTGAAATCCCGTCTTCGCTGCCCTGCCTTTTGTGTTAACCTGTTAGTTTTCTCCTGTAGACCTTCGAGTTTGTGCGACATGACATTAGACACAAGTGATCGATGAAATCCAAACCTTCTAGGATCTTTTCCCGGTCTAGTGTATGCCCGTCTTCTCGCTCCTCACTGTTTGTTGCATGATCCAGTCCACACAATCAGGAATATCATGCGGGATAGCACATAGTCTTGTCTTTCTTCTGTCTTCACTTGAAAGGCATCACTGAGCTTCCTCTTGTGAATTACTTGGCATGTGGCATCGTTATACAGTTGTTGAATGAGGTTGATACAGATTTGTGGCACAAAAACCGTAGTGTTGAGGCAGTTGCTAAATTACTTCTCTGTTGACGCTGTTGAAGGCTTTTCAATGTCGATGAAGTTTAGGTATAGAGTTGACTGCCATTCTATGCTCTATCATCTGCATACTCCAAGTCACTCAGATGATCTTCAAGGAGGAGGAGGTGATGTCCATGTATGCCGAAATAAAGTGGAAAGGATGGCGGAGACCTACCACTGATGACAACTCCAGATTTAAGCCCTCACTTGTTGTTTAGCGTGAAGCGATTTTAAACATAAATGGTTAATTGGTTGAAAAAAAAACTAGGTTTCATCAATTGTCAAGGCCTAGATTAAAACATGTTTTACACACCTTATATATTTATGTAGTCACCCCTTCCCTACCTAACTGTATACTGGAAAAAGTTTCATTTACTAGACTAATAAATGTGCATAGAATGATAGTTTTCTTTATATCTGAAAAGAATTTATGGTATCATCTATCAATATTGATGAAATCGATAATTGGGTGTTAAAAAATCGATTGTAAGAATGGTATAGTATACACGTGTCTATTTATGTCCATACAATGGCTTAGTTCTTTAGTTGTCCTGCAATCTATTTATATGAATATTAGAATTAGAACTATGCTGTTGACTTAACAGAAATCTTGTATGAAATTCCCCCCTGCTGGAACAGTAGACAAGAGAAAGCAACGTCATTTCATCTAGAATTTCTTTGTTGTTCGTTCTTACAGGTTTGTAGACGTTTACTAGAGAGAGCTTGTACTATCATCTTATCGTATAGTGCTAGGCTATGTCGTAAACTGGTTCTCCAAGCTGACTGTGAACAGAGAGAGTACCAAGCGAGTATATATTAATACTTAATAAACCTCTCTACTCGAACTGATGCAGATGTGTTAGGGGCTTACAGAGAGTTGTCATCTAATATTGACGATAATTAGTGATGTCCGCTAAGGATGCTCACTGTCATCATTCTTATTTAACTTCGTCGTAGACGTAAAGTACGTCTGAATTCACAAGAAATTGGCCTACTCTCTGTAGGTCATCTGGTTACCTTGAAATATTGCTATGTGAAGACGCTGATAAAATGCTGCATCTTGAACAGGAATCTGAGCATGTTTAACATGATGCTTCAGGACTGGTCTGCTACAACTAGTCCCAGTTTAGTGATAGGGAGTGAGATAGCAGTGGACTGTGTCGATCACTACATTTACTTGATGAGTTGCATCAGCCCACTGAACAACAAGCTGGTTGTTGATGAAATCTTAGCTTGGTTACAGGCGGCCTGTTTGACATTTATCAACTGTCAATCAATGGATAAGTAAACTGCGCTGCAGTTCGTTCTGTCCTGTGACATGAACATGACCAGGAACCGGTTATAATGATGGAGATTTATTCATCCATTCTCTTTGACGTCTTCTAAAGTGTACTTAGAAGATAACCTTATTATTCTTTACGATTTCTTACAACTCTTTTCCGTGTTAGCTATTGGATTTTGGGTTCGTAATCTAATCCATCACACTTTAGAAAGAAAGGTACAATTTACCATTGGTCTTCATATATATAATGTGTCACTGAAGCGTACTGTGAATGTGTATGCTTCCATCACCCATGTAGATTCTTTGCCAGTTTATATTTAGGCTGCTACTGCGACAAAACTGGATAGCTAGCTTTTAGTATCTCCAGCGGCGAAAAAGCTGTAGGACCGAGTGGAATGTACAGTACCAGCGCTTCCTATAACCTTTAAGTGTGAGAAGTCAGCGTAACCACTATTCGTAACCATTATTCATTGGTTACTTCTAGTCCTACTACTGCTCATTTCACTTCATTGTTATGATGGGACCTCATCGGGTAGTCGTCCCGGCTAAACAAAGTTCTCCTGACTACTGGGTCAAGAAGTTAGCAGTTGTGACCATACTAACCCAAAACCCTTGCACGAAGATATTAAACTGGTAAGATAAACTGACCGACCAGTGGTTTCAAAATAGTTTACGTCACTGAAATTTGTAAGCACACCTTTCGACTTCATGTCAGATCATCATCTACATGGGACCAGGCATTACTGCGTAACGACCCAACTTGCCATACCTTATACCAGCACACCAAGTAACAAGGCAATAAGATGGAAGATGAATAAAGAAAGAAAAACCGGTCAAAAGAATTAGGAAGTAGTAGGAGAGAATGTGGAAATGATGAGGTTAAATATGACGGTTAGGATGAGGATTACATGTTTAAACATCTGCGCCAGTTCTAAGCTAAATATATTACCTCCTAGAGTCTCCAACGACTAGTGGTTTCCCTTGCCCGGTAGATCCCAACCCACATGGCTCAAACGAACAGTCAAGGACTTCATGCATTGATGCCATGTTTCAGTCTGGCCACTATGAGCCTTTTCCCAGTCTGAACCTACTTCGGCCAACATTGTCCGATGAGGTGGACGGTAACTAGGGCTCCGTAATATAAATCTGAGCCAGCTATCTCAGTCGATGAAGGTTCACAACCACATTAACTGACCTACCTCTCCTCCCTTAAACTCTACACCTGACTTCTGTGTAACTCACATGGTGACACCACGTAATACGGCCTATAGTACGAAGGCAACGATGGTCAAACACCTGAAGCCGCCTTCTCATGTCTTCCACGTTCAGTGGCCATGTTTCACAGCCATACAGTAGAATAGAGTGAGTAGAGCACAGTACACTCGACCCTTAATAGACAATCGGCGGCGCCATAGATGGCGTAAATTGGCAAAAGCCAACCGAACTTTTTGTATTCGTGCAGAGATCTCGTCGGCCAATGAGCCACCCAGGCTGATCCGACTTCCCAGGTAAGTGAAGCGGTCAGCACACTCACTGTCTATTGTTAGCCAGGGCACTACTGAAGACCAGTCCTGGAGCAACTATATCATTGACGCGTATCTCCAGACTTAGATGATACTTGATCATCGAACCCAAAACCCGTTTTAGAAACATATGTGACAGACACTAACGTAGAACCTCGCACAGAAGTACACAAAACAGATGGAAAGAAGAGAAGTGATATTAAAGTAGTGCGAATATTCAAGCTTTAGAGCACGTCAAGTAGTGAATGCATCTGCGCCATTGTGACCGATTTTCATCCATATCACCAATTGTCGTCAACCACTGATTTCTTTCTTCTCAGGGACCTTAACCAGTCAGTCTACATCTGCCCATATAGCTTAAGCTAACAATCAGAAACTTTATCGACTTACTGCCGCAATGCTACGAAGACACCCATTCTCCAAAAACTGTAACTGTTTCATGACTCCTACTCTTTAATGTCTCCCAGTCGTACAACACGACAGAGCGGACCGTAGTGCAGTTTTCTCGTTCTTTGATAGATAGCGTCGTATTTCCTTAACCCCACTGTTATTTTTCGACGGGATGAAGTAATTCCGGTCAATATAGTATTCTGTTGGGACCTACATTTTGGTTGTCGGTTTGTATGGAGAACATTCCTCGCTTCTCAGTATGTTATACGTAGGGTATTCAGTTAACTGTTCACCACTAGGCGAGTTTATAGTTTGATTATCGTGTTTCAGTAGACATGGCGCAAACTTATTCAGTCTTCGCTAAGTATAACTGCACTAAGGTTATACATACATACTGGAGCGAGAAATGCCCATGGTTTGGTTACGCACTAAAATGAAGAATCTGACTGCTGCATTTTATTTTCGTATTAGGCTACTAACTACATAAGAGTACGTACAGCTTTATGTTAACACGAGCAACACCTAAGTTGGTATTACTAAGAGCTACAGAAATGAAGATAGATAGATGTCTTTGTCATTCTACATACGAACTAACACTTAAATCCTTGCCATACATCACAGCAGTTTGTAAGGAGGAAGTGAATACAATGGTGTGTGAAGATTACCTTGTACCCGATCCCCTGTAATATCACCAACCATTGATTCCTACCATTTGAAGGACTTCAACCAGGTAGCCTACATCTTTCTATATGGTTCGATAAGGTTTTGGGAGAATATGAAACATATTTAGAGATGATGAACGTCATTATACACTTTCTTAGTTAACGGCATACACAACCTGTACCTTTTGGATGCTACTTCTAGTTATTCGTATACTTAAGTACGCACAACAGCCACCATCTCCGAAATTGTTCGATTTATCCCTTTTTCCGGATAAGAGAACGAGATGGGATATATAGCTGATTTTTTGCTGGCAAAATCAATCATTCATAGGCTAGCTAGTGACAAGATCCCATCAATATTTCTTCGGATTAAACAGGATCTGAACAGTATAATGAAGTAATTTGCAAAAACTAATACACTTTAGTTTTCTTTATAGGTTCACCAAACAAGTGGTGCCGTTTACCATCAGCGTACCACCCACAGCTTTAATGTATCTTGGCACTAATTTTAAAGACCTTACGAAATATGGTCAAACTATTCATTTTGATGAGATTCATATCGGCCCAGCACCAAGACATGATATTATTACTATGCATAGGCATGGACATGCATTTGGTGGATTACCATGGCTTTTCTGGATTAGTTTAGTCTTACTAATCGCTGTCTTCCATATGTTTTTCTGTAAAATCATATACAACGAGTTGAGAAGAAAGAATCAACCATCTGAAGATCAAGACACTTGGAGATTACCGCGTTATGCAACTGATCTACGCTGTCAATCAGCTCATGAAGCAAGAGCCTATATTAATGCACAGTTATCACGACGAAGACGAGCTGACTTGGATACTGTTCCATAACTAGATTTTGTTCAACTTTTTTAACTTCTTTATAATATACAACTTTTTTTTTCCTGACAAAAAGAAAAATTAGTAAAATGTATTTCTTTTTTTTAGTAATTATAACATTTATGTTGTATATATATACATGGATAAGTACACATGAAATAAAACTATCATTTATGAACAGATTACGCTAATATCCACATTGAAAAATATAGCTGCACAAAGCGTTAGTTATACAACAGAAATGAGATTGATATTCGACTGTTGACAAATGAACCAGGTACACAACACCGGTTGTAATATTCAACATAGTTTAAAGTATATATCACATTAGGAAGAGAGAAAGAAGAAAAAAGGTTATTATAATGTGAATTGAAAATATCAACATACTCAACTGATTATAACTTTTAAAATAGGTTGAATAATGATGCTTAAACATTTCAATCAATGACAGAGATCTAGATTACAAAATGCAGAAAACAAATGCTAACCAATAAGTAATAAGTCAAAGGATTGAAATTTACAACATCACTATTCATCCTATTTTTCAAGTTATAAAAAGAAAGGAGAAGTATGATGATGCTTATACACTTTTTAACTACTCTTATGACCACTTGTAGAATCGGCAGGCGAAGTACGACCCGAATGATCAGCACTGTGAACATTATTACGATAAATTGATGAATATGTGATATTATGATTAGTTGAATCATTTTCAGGTTGAGGACTTGAACCATTCATTTGCATCCAAGTATTAGAGACACCATTTGGACAATAATTTAATCCATAGACAAGATTTAATACTTTTTGATCAATTTTTCCACCACCATGCTCCTAAATTAAGTTATTATATATATATGTAAAACACTAGGAATAAGAATACCTCTAAAAATCTGAAAAATGTTTCTCCAGTTAACATTGCATCACTTCCAGCTTGATGTTGTAAACCGATACGTGGTACACGCATTAAATCTGCTAGTTCTTGTAATCCACTTTTAGGGAATTTATGTTCACTCATCATTGATTTTAAATCGACTATTCGAGGGAAGAAAATAAGCAACAACTTTTGGAATTCTAAAACATTATCCGGCATTCTCATCCAATCTGTACATATCTTCATCATATAAGCGAAATCATATGCACTAAAATAATTTAAATCAAAGTAATAAACACAAAAAATCTTACCTATGAAATCCAATCCATGTTATTTTATCATTCAGTGGAAGACCACTGGTAAGAAATGCTTCTGCAAAATCACTTAACTCAATTCCTGTTCTTTTTAATTTTTCAAAATCTATACCAGAAACTTCTAGTAATTGAATAGAATCGGCTGCATGCATTTCATTGTCAACATTCCATTTGATATTAAATTGAACAGTTGAAACAGAATCTAAAGTTTGCCCACTTTCATCGAAAAAGCTAAATCCTATTTGTATAGGTTTCAACATATCAATGTTAACTTTTATATTGTGATATGCTTGTTCAAAACTGTTTGCATATTCACCAAACACTTTTGCAACAACACCAGGAAATTCAGTATCTACAGCAACATATCGACAATCTCGAACAAGTCTACGAACAAGGCGCATGCCTTCATGGAAATTATGGGTCCAGACATCCCATACACGGCCTTGAGCACTTTCTTGTACTACGTTGAGTGGGAAAAGATTACCAGGATCAGAATGAACATGATGCTGTACTCCATGATGGATATGATTGTGGTGGGTATTATGTCCATGATAGTGATATGTGGCCTGAGGAGCGTAACCATCCGTTGTTACTGTCATACCAGATCTATAGCTATACTTTCCAAAATGGGGATTGATAGGTGACTCAGTAAGCGAACTCTGAATAATGTGATTTGAATAGCCGTTTTGTGTTACAGATGGAAGTTCGCGGAAAGGGTGCATTGAGTAACATAAGTGACACATTCAGTAATCCTATGTAGACATTGACAAATAAATACGAGTCTTAGCACACTCATTACGAATAATACACAATATAACAAGCAAGAACAACGGTACTCACCAAAATCTCTCATACGAAACAGCCTACCGAGTTTACTTTGTACTTCAGCACTTGAGCTTCCCTCCAGACTGAAGAGTAGTCCGACCAAACAAAAGTGTCACAGGAGTGGTAACTTTTTTCCTTCTCCAAAGTAGTTTTTTCGCATACAGTTGACAATTTTGTGTTTTCCTATACAAAATTGTATTTTCACGTGTCCAGAATGTTCGGCCTCCTACCGACGGAAAATGTGTTTAACGCTTCACCGCTCATTGTGGACTTAAAATTGCATATAGGTCCTCTTCATATTGGGTTCTCATTGGTACTGTTATGAACACGATTGAAGAGAGCAGTGGCTAAGTTCATCAACTTTCCATAGAAGTTTTACAACGGAGGGTATCTAAAATCCAATACGCGAAAATCATCTTACGGGCTTCTTTAAAATATTTGATTTCCTGACGCTCCCTTCTATGTCTTATGGAAATGTTCCAGGTCTTTGGTGGACTCCGATGTGGTTGGTCTGCCCACCCGCCTCTTGTCGCTCTGGTTAGCCTGACGGGTGGTTGGGTGTTGATTAAGTTATTTGATATTATATGATTTGTCCAAGGAATGTAGTGCAGTTGGGTTCCTCAAGTGTTGTGCAACCGGCCAGCTGTTCTGACCAGCAGTAGAAAAAGACCAAAAGCATGTCCAGAAAATCAAAGAGGAGGAGGTACGAAGAAGAACAAGGAAAAATAGCTAGGTGAAACGAAGCTACACGGAAGGGAAGGACAAACTCATTTAGATTTACGGTAGATAGGTGATGGTGAGAACCTTAACAAATAATACGATATAAAACGGCCAGACTCAGGAAGCGAAGTAAGTAGGATTATGGGACGGGTTGTGGGAATAGGAATAGTAACGCTATTAATGATAGATGGTAACTAGGGAAGACGTTTAACAGGGAAATATGGGGTTGAGTCAAGTTCGCATTGAAAGTGTGGCAAAAATGATTCGGTGTAGGGTTTACTGTATCGCATTGTGTGGAGTATGTAGGTTGTAACACCTCTGTCCAGCTGGATGGGCGAAGGCCATGCGTTTCTGTGCAGCTGTCCGAGCTCCCTTTGAAGCTGTCAACCGGCAAAACAGCAGCAATTCCAACCTGTAATGCGTTTCAGTGGCGGCAAATTCACACTGAGAAAAGTGTGGATGCACACGGGTTTTCAACCTTTGATGGGGATTCTTTCCGGGTTTCTACGAGGATTGCTACAGTGATCGTTCCGTAGATCTCCATTGTTCGGGTGGCTTGAATTACTTAGCACTCCGTTAGCCATCAGCAAGTCACCGCGTAACCCTCGGTAGCCAAGAGAATAAAAGCCAAGATCCTCCAGGTTATCCTCATGAGGCATTTATCACATTCCTATAACACCATTTGATCCTCGCCTCTGAACTTCCTGCATGTGATACACATCTCTCTTCAGGTGTGGTGGTGCAATGAGGTTATAGACCTCAATTTTAGGTCGTACATAGGTCTTGCAGAGCTTCAGAAAGAATTCCGCAGTGAGGGAGCCTAGTTGTCCGGAGGTATTTCTTTGATATCTGTAGCTAATGTCTAGCTTATCACTCATTACCAGTTCCAGGTCTTTCTCCGTGGTTGCCCAGGAAATTTGCCCAACACAAAGAGAGTGGGATACTTTCTGAAGGTCAGGGGCACGGAGAAAAGTGGTTCGGGGCCTACCTGAGTTGAATCCCAATCCGTTACTACCCACTCACCCCGCAAGCAATCTGAGATCACTTTGCGGTGTACATGAATCCGCTCCGGACATCAAAGCTCTTCATAGCTCAAAATCAGCAGGGTGAAACCTAGCGGAAGGTCACTCACAAAAAGAGGGAATATCAGGGGACCCAGAATCGCTCCTTGTGGTACGCCAGATGATTATATCTTTCAGGCCGGGCAAATACTGTTGACTTTTGCGCGGAATTTTCTGCTGTCTAAATGGCCTTGCAGCCAGGAGAGCAGGCAACAGCTGATCCCCAACCCTGGCATCTTACGCATGAGAATGATGTGTTAGACTGTGTTCAAGTTCTTAGCGAAATCCAGGAAACTCATATAAGGTTGAGCTTGGAGGTCCCAGTATGTTGTTCAGTTGTCAGGCGCCACCAGAAGGCCCGAGGTGCAGGATCTGCGATTTCGAAAACTGTGTTTAGAATCACTTGGTGCTCCCCCCTTGCCCAAGTACTTTCCGGCATAGTTGTCTGCCAGGTTATCCATCACATTCTATGGAGCATGTGGAGGCGCTGTGGCCAATAGCATTTAGGGACCTACCCATCCACTTTTCTGAAGATGGTAGAAAGAATAGTGTGTTCGCAAACCTTGCTAATATCCGAAGTAAAGTTATCTTGCACTCATTCTTCGGATTTACTGGCCAACTCCTATTGTTCGTACTGATATGGTACATGAGCAAATCGATTTCAATTTCCTGCCCCGGCACACTTTTGATTCCTCCACCTGGATATTCTAAACTTAGTGAGACTGGTCCATGTGGCGTTTCCGTTTGCCTACATCTGAAATGGACAATATTCCTGGGAACATCATTTTCATGTTAACTGGTATCATTTAATGTAGATATTGTCCCTTAGGTTCCAAGTGAAACATAGGGCTTCACTAGTACTTTGCCGTTTCACTCTCTTCTCTCCAGTTTTTTTAACGTGGCTACACGGCTGGCCAGAAACTTCCATTTCTCCCTCACACCATCTCCTCCGTGTTACACTCAGACGTCCAACTCACCATTTCCCATTTGAGTTCCACTCGACAGACTGACCTGGCACGTGATGTCCCCAAACGGTCTTCTCAACGCACGTCCGACCCATCTCCACTTTCTTCTTCCGCATATTTGCTGGATGACTGGTCAGACATAAGTCATCGTGGGCGAAATCGAAATCGTGTAGGGTCTTTTCATCGAGCGTATACCCATCTTCCCGCTCCTCACGGTTTGCTTCATGATCCACTCCAGTTCAGTGGACCACAATCAGGAAGATGTCCGATGGTGATAGTAGGCAGCTTTGTCTTACTCTTATCTTCACCTCAAGGACATCACTGAGCCCTTCATTATGAGTCATCACTTAGCATGTGGAGTCTTCATACAGCTGTTGAGAGAGGTTGATAAAGGTCTGCGGCGTTCCATAGTGTTGAAGCAGTTGCCAGATTACTTCCCGGTCAACGCTGTCGATGGCCTTTGCGAAACCGATGATATTGAGGTAAAGAGCTGATTGTCATTCTATTCCCTGCTCTATGATGCACCTTGCAGCGTTGCAATTTGATCTCCAAAGGATTTGTTCTTCCCGAAGCCAGCCAGCCCGTTCCGGCCGTAGTTCTGAATCCGGTGCATACTTTAGTCTCTCCAGGATGATGAGGCTTAATATTTTACTTGGGGCGGACAGCAGCATGATTGCAAGCCATTACTTGGAAACATAGCATAGGTCTCCCTTCTTTGGGGGTTTGGCAAGGCTGCCCTTATATCAACTATGAGGCAGCTTTCCTTCCACTCTTTTCAAACCTCCTGCAAACGTGTGAGCATGTCCTCCGTTGTCTGTGCGTCTGTTTCCAGCACTTTTGGTGGAATTCCATCTCCTCATCCTTTCTCTATCAGCTTCTGTGTATCCGTCAAGATCCATTCCGTGTCCTGTTTTTCTTCCTTCTCAATACGATTATACAGATTCCCTTCTACATCTCTTTCAATGAGTTCCAGCGTTCTTGCACACAGGTTTCTTCAGGCAGGTTGCTCACTGTCTCCCATTCTGTCCTGATGACTGACGTTGTGATGTACTTCGTAGTTTCATACTCCAGTTTCTGTTCTGCATGTTTGACCTGAACTGTGGCCTGTCACCAACTTCTGTGAAGGCTTTCGACTTGATTTGGAAGATTCTTCACACTAGACAATGGGTGGTATGAACCCACATCTGCTCCCCTTCTTGGCCTGATCTTGTGTCCAGTAGGCTGGCTGCGTCTCCACTTTATTCACATTCAGATGAAGTCGATCTGATTTTAAGTGTCCACCTGGTGAAATCCATGTTGCTTTGTGAAAATCCTTGTGTTCGTACACACTGCCTCACCTCCAATCACCAAGTCATTGAATGTGTAGAAATCTGCTAATAGTCCTCCATTCTCATCCATTTCGCCAGGTGCTTCTTGGCCCGTGATGACTTCTCTTCCCGTGTGGTCCGCTCCCAGTTTGGCATTCATGTCACCCCACCATTTGGAATTTCGGTGTCGCCAACTGGGGTGAAGTCTTGTTCATTACTGACTGCAGTTGTCTACAGAACTCCTCCCTATTCTCTTGACCTGCGCCTGCATTATTTGTAGGCGCATAGCGTAGTGTAGCATTGTAAGACTGTGACTTTCCTTCCTTTTGAGTTCAGTTTCGCTGCCATGATCCTGATCGTTGGGGAGGTTACCCCCTCTGCATGAGAGTGATCCTTCAAGGCTCTTGGAGACGTCATGATAGGCGCTTCAAAACTCAGCGTGCTCTTATTTGTCGTCTGGGTGACAATATCGGAGTAAGTTACTAACTCCTCTCAAGTTGACAGTTTGGATAGTCCACTGCCATTTTATCTACCCTCACAGATTCCCAGCACTTCTATCCCATACCTTCTCACCTTTTTGGCATTCTGGGTGGCCTTGCTAGGTTCATACATGGTGCGGACATTCCACATCCCCATGTTTGCTCCCTTTTTCATCGACAGAAGACACATGGGACAATTGGCTCCCCGAAGAGTTCCACCAACCGTCGTGGTTTCGACCCTCCGATTCCAGCGAGGAATAGGTTTAATTTTATTTTTATATTTTCTTTGTGACTTGAAGTTTATTTAGGGATTGGCTTGGTTTTACGGGGCATGGTTAAAAGCCCTACGTCCAATATTCCTTTTTTATCCGGCTAGGAACTAACTAGCGAACTAGTTAACCAGACGAGGTTGTATCATTGGCTAAATATGGCTAATATCATACAATCACTCACGCTGATCTGCAGATTTCGGCAGTCACAACAGAGGGATCTAAACACAAGACAGCCATTCCACCGGTTGGGAGTGGAATCTGCTCATAGAACCAGTATACCATGAAAAAGGATG